GCAATCGAGCTCTTTTCTGAAATATTTTATCTTCATAAGAACCAACTGCCTGAATGAAATGCTCTACTCGACTCAAATTCGGCTGAGGAAAAAAATACAAATAAATAAGAATACTATAGAGGACATGGTAAAGCCAAATGTAAATTATTTACTTAAATAGCCTACAATACAGTCGCTTACATACCTTGCTTCCATCAGTCAAATATCCACCCAATGCCCTAAATTCCTTTTTGTATACAGCGAAAAGCAAGTTGATCGCGCCCTGAAAAATCAACAACGAGAAAATTAGAACAGGATAATATTCTCCTCTTATTTACCTCATCACCAAGAAAAGGCCGCAAGAAGAATCTTTTTTAATGTTATTTTACCACCCTACTAAGTTACATGGACAAGGATTTTTTTTTTTTTTTTTTTTTTTTTTTTTTTTTAAATTTAAACATTTCATATACCTCTGTCAATATGATAGGGGAAAGAAATATCAATATAGTCCAATTTATTAGGCTTAATAAAACGTTACATACCTCACGAATCTCCAGTGTTGGCATGTGTGGTAAGAAATCGTTGCCAACAAAGAAACAAATGAATATAAAATCATCTACGATGCGCTCAGAATCAATCTCAATTGGGGAATTGGGAATTTGCATCTCAAGCTCCAAATATTCTCTAAGAGTCCAGATGTTGAGAAACTGCCAAAACAGAGATAAGAGCTTAAATATAGTGTCACGCATTATTTCATAAATATGCAAAACATGTGCCACAAGTTCTATCCAACAAAACCTACATTCACAAGTGCTCTAAACTGAAAATTCTCAATCCCAAAATCACAACCACCAATATTCAATTTCAAGGTATAATGTTAGATACAGACAGCCTCCCTCTTTTTCTTTCATACCAATGATTTAGGTACCATACCACACAAGAGAAGTCTGACGATGACTATTACTAACTATCTTTTATAGTTTTTAGTAGATAGGCCGAGAGGGGAAAAGATACACTTTGGTATTTTTCACCTTTGCAAAGGGTAAAACTGTGGGAGTCAGGGCTTTCGGGCAAAATAATAACTTAAAGGACTTTTTGAGATTTAAGCATTTCTTTTATGGTATCCGTATACTCTACAGTAAGTGCATTGCAAAAAAAACTAACCTGGTATGGCTTCTTGGCCACAGCCTCGCCATCAGCTTTCTCATCAAACTCTCCGACCTTCCGTTTCACCTTTCCTTCGCAATTTGCCGCTAAATGACCCATCTGACCGCATAGGAAGCATTTGTCTTGCTGTCCAGGAGTGAAAACAACCTAAAATGTAGCATTGCCAAAGGCCACAAGCATTAGTTGGAATCAAGATGAAAATAAAGGTAACCATACAGAAATACAAACTGATTTGATTTTTAGAATGAAAATTGCAAAAACATAAACGCAAACCTCTCGAAGAATTGAAAAATGAACTTCATGAGTAGCCAAAGCAAGCATAATCAAATCAGCATCCTGTAATTGACCACCCATTAATAGAGTATGGAACTTTTTACGACCATAATCAGGGCAATTTATAAAGTAATGCATAAATGAATAAGGGGTACAAGCAAATGCTTAAGGAAGAAATATACCAAACCATACAGGCAATGGCGTGTATTTGGATCATAACCGGGAAGATTTCTTTGAAGGCGAATATATGACATAACTTTGTGTTCCCCTTCACCCGGGACATTTGCATCAGAAAGAATAACCTTCAAAAATAAAAAAAAGATTTGTTAAAAGTAGAACATTCATCGCAATTAAAATGTCAATAAAAAAGATGTCCATGATATTAATTGCAAAGGAACAACCACACAATTATAGGAAGATGAGGGAACAAGACAAGGAAAATACCTTAACATTTTTCCATCCAGGGTCATTGTTTAGTCTAAGATGGATATAGTATTGCAATGCAACTGACAAAACAGCCATAAATTGAGTCCCAGGAGTGATGACATTAGAATCAACAACTTGTGACTGCTGTTTGGGTGGAAGTTTTCTCCCCTCCGTTTCAAACTCCTCACGTAGCCGTTCTTCTTCAGCTGCCTATAAAAGAGAAACCAAAAATTAAAAAATGGAAATGCCTAGCTTTTGTTCTCTTAACTTCTTCCTCCCTTCCAATGGAGGTTGGAAAACCTAATCCAAAAAAAAATGTTACAAGCAAGGATTCAAGAAATCAATAAAGCATATTCACAGAATGAGAGAGAGGAACAGAGATTAACATGCCCTGGCATCGTATAAATGGTTCAAGACTGTATCCCCCAAATATAATTTCTTATGTCAAATACACATTCCAAAACAAAAGGTATCTTTGATTAAGGTTGAAAAGAGAATCATGGGAGAATATCTGCCAAGCAATCAAAGCATCCATAGGCCACTCAAGAAACAACCCATACAAGCACCACAAGAGTTATGAGCAAAGAAGGAACAGGTTGTTGGGTCGTCTAAAAATAACACAAACTGCAACACTAATAACTAAAACAAACATAACTAATAAAGCGAAGAATATGCATATAATCACAATTGATGATAACACTAGAAATAGTTATAAGATGCAATTTTTTCAACTCCTACAGATACTCCACTATAAGCTACAGAGGAAATTTTGTAGTGCCAAGGGAACAAACTGCTTTTGTTTGTTCAGTTACTAGTAAAGGCAAGATATATGGGCAGATTTATTCATCTCTCGGTTGTTTGTGATGAAAAAACCTTACTTTATAGAAGAATGAGAAGTTACAAGAAAAATACAAGCCCTTCACGTGCAAACACATGGAGGACCCACCTAGCATCCACAAGAGGACGTACCGCATCTGCTGCATCTTTAGCAGCTCTAAATCGCCGAGACCGCTGTTGATTCATTTTTGCCCTGGGGGCAACGCCATCTATCAATTGCTTACAATAATCAGTATTACAAAAATTGCACACCATATAGCAGCATTCGCTTGTACAAAAGGAAATTTCAGTTCCCATTCCAACACTCACCAATAGCCATGTATAATAGCTTTCGAGGTCGCACCATCGCAAAGAGTCTATCTATGTAGTCAAACATGCACTGAAATACCTCATCAAAGGTTGATGGAGAAGGCTGCATCAGTTAAAATAACACGGTTAAGACATACAGCTCTAACAGAAAATAAATAAAGAATTTCATAGACAAGCAAATTTTCACTCCAATAAAAGGGGGAAATACTTTGCACGTGAGGCATTGTAGCTGAACAATCAAAGTATACAAATTGCAATTCATATAAATGCACGAACAGCAAACAAAATCAACACAAGAAAATAAACCATGTATATATATTCATGATCACATTGTAGAGAAAACAAAGCAAGGAAATCAATCTATCGAAGCGTACCCTATCTTCGGGGTGAAAACAGGGGTGAATAATCCCGTTCATGTCGAGGTAGAGATTGTCGTATTCAAGACCATTAGGGTTTGGTTTACTGGTGTCCACCGGAATCGATATGTTATCGATTACAACGGGTTCTTCTTCCACCACGTCGACCACCACGAGCGGATACTTCTCCGCCAACCATCTATAGAATGCTGGAACTCCCATTGTCAATTGCTCGCAGCTCGCAGCCTAGCAGGCCTCTCTCGCAAATCAACAAAAAAGAAGGCGCGAGAAAGTTAAAGAAAACCCCAGCCCTAACCCTAACTGAAGCTCTCGGAGGAAGACTATATGTGAATGTTGCGAAAGCAGAAGCCGTGCGCTAGTCTTTCTTTGATATGAAATTGCTTCGCTGGGGGCGAATTAGGGTACGAAACCAAGTGACGGGACGGTTATACCCCTACCAACTGGACAAAATAAGCAGATGTTTCGAGGTTATTTTTGGTTTAAAAGAAAGAAACACAGACTGGGGTTTTTTTATGTCTTCAGCAGTGTGGGATTAATGAGTCGTAGCCTCCTGGGTCGGTTATCTATCCTATCTAAAGCTTCAGACGACCGACAATTTCCGTAAAGTACCCAAAAACGAAAGCCGAAAGCCCAGCGTCATATAATAAAGAAGGCCTGCTATAACCGGCCGATCAAACATGGCCCATATGCCAGCGATCACCTCCAACGTAGAATTCTATTATGCGAGGGCCTTATTTACTTTGATAAGACTCTATCTCTTAATTGTTAGATTTTTTTCTAAAAAATTTCTTTTATTTTTCGCAAACTAAAATACACGTTTTATTGGTCAAACTCAAAACACTAGATTATTTAACTATTTTGTTTATACTAATTGGTAAACCCATAAGCTTATTGAAAAGGCACTACCAAAGCAGTGATGTCCCGCAGTCATGGGCTACATATGACAATTTTTTGTTTGTGGAAGACTTGCGGAGATTGCTTCATCCTCATGTATAATAGAGAATTCGTTTGCACGAACTCATTAAATAAAGAAAAGGAATGTATGTACTCAAAATTGTAGGCTGAATTCGTCGGCATTCTGATTTGAAGCGGTTGAAGTGGAGGGGAAAACAAACAAGGATTAAAGTATAATAATAGGATTTTGACCAATGTAATTCAAGTCAAAACTTTATCATATATGATGGAATAGAAAGTGATGTCCACTATTTGCATATTGTAAATATTCCCACCAACCCCACCAAAAGCAAAAATACATAAAATAAAAACCCACTGAGTGTGGATGGACGGCTGGGCTTTGCTTTGCTTTATAATCACATTCTATTGCGTTCAAAGCAGAGGCCCAAATGAAAACCTCACAATTGACGAAAGGCTTCTGCTGGTCCCCAACGTACTTAAGTTTGAGACCACCAAAAAACCCAAGCAGCAGCTGCTGCAGGCATCAATCAAAGGCTCAGCGCAAACGCGTGGTCTGTTTCGGTCCATAGATCACTTGTTATTCCCTGCTCTTCTCTCCCACCAGACCAAGATGTTCGCCAAATTGAGAGGCCATATTACAATTTCCCAGATTAACCGGATCTCTTCTGTACTACAACCACTCCATCAGCAGCACTATTCTCCCAAATCCCAACAACCATGTCTCTGACCATTAAACTCCACGTTACCACCTCCTACCTCAATCTCAACCTCAACACTTCCAAAAACACTACCAAAGTCGCAAACTTTAAGGTTAAGCTTCGAACCAAACCCATTTACCATTGCGACCCGTTACTCTCCGTCGTCTCCAACAATTCCGCAATGCATGCTTCTGCTCAACCGGGTCAACCCGCCATCAGGAGCTCGCTGATTGACCCGGACGGCGGGGCTCTGGTTGATCTTGTGGTGCCGGAGAGCAAGAAAGCCTCCAAGGCCTTGGAGGCAGAGTCACTGCCCAAGGTGAATCTTACAAAGGTTGATCTTGAGTGGGTCCACGTCATCAGCGAGGGATGGGCCAGCCCATTGAGAGGGTTCATGAGGGAGGACCAGTACTTGCAGAGCTTGCACTTCAATTCCTTGAGATCCCAAGATGGGTCTGTGGTCAATATGTCGCTTCCCATTGTGTTGGCTATTGACGACGAGACTAAGGAGAGAATTGGGTCGTCGCCTAATGTGGGGTTGCTTGGACCTAATGGAGATTTAATTGGTATACTAAGCAGGTCAGACCCTGGTCAAGCACGATAATTTACTTTAATCCTTGTTTAGTGTTTGATGATTTGATTCCGTCTTCTTCGTTCTCTTTTTTTCGGTCTATACAGTGATGGTGATAGTTAAGAAATCTAGTTCATCTTCTAAATAGCCGTAGATTGTTTGCACATGGAAATTTATGCCGTCTGGGTTTTTTTAAAATATTTTAATTGTATATATTATTCAGTGGTAATCACCTAAATTCGTGCGGAAGGAATGTCATATTATGTATTTCTTTATGTATGGTGACAGACAGCGTAAGCAAGCATCAAGTTCCCAGTGAAAGATGGGGACTTGTTTCTGATTTTAAAAAGTCAATTTGCTTATTTCTTTATTGTAATTACACATCTGATACGGCATCCACTATTTTACCCTTTAGAAATTCACTGAACTGTACACACATGCAACACAACTAAACAGGTGCATTTCTTACTAATTCATTGAGAGACTCTCACAAATCCTGTGTAATTGACATAAAATCTTGTTAAAATTCATAAACTACAAATATAAATGCATGCCTTACCGACTTTACCTAGTCTTATCCCTTAGCTTTCGTTTATATTTGTATTTGTTGTAGCATTGAGATTTACAAGCATAACAAAGAAGAAAGGATTGCTAGAACTTGGGGGTCAACCGCTCCGGGACTGCCATATGTTGAGGAGGCCATCACACCAGCTGGAAACTGGCTTATTGGCGGCGATTTGGAAGTATTAGAGCATATCAAATATAACGATGGGCTTGATCGCTACAGACTCTCTCCTCAACAGCTCCGCAAAGAATTTGATAGGCGTCAGGCTGATGCCGTTTTTGCTTTTCAGCTGAGAAATCCTGTACATAACGGCCATGCTTTGTTGATGAACGATACACGCAGGCGACTCTTGGAAATGGGCTACAAGAATCCAATTCTTTTGCTTCATCCTTTAGGAGGTTTCACAAAGCCTGATGATGTGCCCTTGGATGTTCGGATGGAGCAACATAGCAAGGTCACCATCATGCATTTCCTTTATATAATTTCGATCTAGGATATGCTAAGCATTTGACCTGCCACCAGAAATGATAGCATTCTGTTGCATATAACCTGCAAATCATCTGTTTACATTTTGGTGTTTAACCATTTTGTTGATTGGCCATGTTTTTCGCATATGCATTCAAGTGCCATAGATGCATTGTGATTCTTGCAATGGGTAGTTTTTAAATGTTTTAATTCTGCTCAGGTCCTAGAAGATGGAGTTCTTGACCCTGAAACTACCATTGTGGGTATATTCCCATCACCTATGCACTATGCAGGCCCAACTGAGGTACAGTGGCATGCCAAAGCACGGATAAATGCAGGCGCAAATTTCTACATTGTGGGCCGTGATCCTGCCGGTATGGGACACCCAACAGAGGAGAGGGATTTATATGACCCTGACCATGGGAAAAAGGTGTTAAGCATGGCTCCCGGGCTCGAGAAGCTCAATATTTTGCCTTTCAGGGTAGGTGAAATTACACGCTGCTTTTAGTCTTGACTGACGGATTTGTTACATCAGAGTTATACTAATTCAAATTTGATGAATTCTACTTGGTAGTATATCCTGCAACACAATTGTTTATTTCACTTGGCTCTTGAGATTTTAGTAGCTTCATCAGTGATTTAGTAGTGGTTGCTGGATACAACACTAGTAATGACAGATGATAATTTGCTCCTTTGTGTGTGCCTGCCAACTACTCTTCTTTTTTAATTATATATGGCAGGTGGCAGCTTATGACAATGTGGAGAAAAAGATGGCATTTTTTGATCCTTCGCGTGCTAAAGATTTCCTCTTCATCTCTGGAACCAAGGTAGGAACATAACGTCTTTTGTTTGATGAAAATAGTGTCTCTGTGGTCAAGGCTTCATGGTAAATGCCATATTAATTAGGAAAATCATATATCTTCATATCTTCAACGTGAATTTGGTAAACACTTGTTGTTTCAGATGAGAGCTTTTGCAAAGAGCGGAGAAAGCCCTCCTGATGGTTTTATGTGTCCCGGGGGATGGAAGGTCCTCGTCAACTATTATGAGAGCTTGCAAACAGAGGAGGCATCAGAGCAACAAGCCGTTTTGTCTACTTAGATATCAAATCAATGATAAAATTAATAGCAGAGTTTCAGTCAGCTAAGTTAATTCCAGTCTAGCAGGAGAAGAACGTAGCCGCTAGCCAGATTATAACCGACCCAGCCGGCAACCAGCACAAGGGTAACCTTGAGAATCTTTATTCTCAAACCAGTAGCCGCATCGTGTTTGCTAACGAATGCATGTAAAATATTGATTTTCTTTTTCCCTTTGTCACCCAATTTTTTTGTTTATGAGGTTATATTTATATAATGGGTAAGTACTTATTTTTCTACAATTTATGCATTCTTGTTTGGTGCTGCTCCTGCTGCTTTTTTAACCTCAACGTAGCTGATATAATTTGGGCTGGGCCGGTCACATTTCAATTTCATATTTAAAATGCTTGGCTTGGCTGCGATGGAATTCCATTGTTATGCAATTAAGCCTAGTTTTGTTCGAACAAAACAAGGATTTTGGAATTTAGTGCTCATTTGGCACTACTTATTTGGGGTGATAAGTTATTTTTAAAAAAAATTGGAAAGCCCAGCTTGTTGGGTAAATTATAAAAAAATCATTTATTGTTAAAAATTGTTGTGAGAGAAAGCAGCTAATAAGGTGATTTTATTTTCTGATTATACAGGAATCAATTTTGAAGAGGAGTTGTGTTTAATGATTATGCGGCAATCATTTTCTAATTATGCGGGAATCATTACAAACAACACTTATAACAAAAAGTTTACCAAACGCCAAACTACTTTCTGTCACAGCTGATTTCTCTTATAGCAAATCTGACAACGATTAGTTTAATAGCACATCAATGCCAAACTGACCCTTAATAATGGCTTCCAGTACTACCGGCCATGAAACTTATTATTTGGCACGTGAACCTAATTTACTTGTCTTAATTTGCAAATAATTATTCCAACAGTTCATTTATGATCCTATGTCTGTGTGTATATATACATACACATGTGGTTTTCAAATCGCACAACATTAGTCGTTACCTGCATTATTATTCGTTACGATTATTGAGTGCGTTGACCACATGGTGAAGTCAACAGAAACTCATATGTTAGTTATCACTGTTACTTTCATACAATGTTGGTGAGCGCTAGTTAGAGGTTTAAAATCTCCTTTTTCTTTTCTTTTTTTCTTGCTTCACTTGAGAGGTGGTTGAAAACTTGAAATTTCTCCTTAAAGTTTAAACAAACTAATTATTAGTTTAGTAATATTTCTCTTTTTAAAATTAAACAAGGTCTCAAGTTCGATTAAACTAATATTTCTTTATAATAATAAAAATTAAAGGATGTCTCAAGTTCGATCTCTCTCAAATTCGATCTCTTTAACTATAAAGTTAAATCAACTTATATGGGTAGTTGCTTTTTGGCTATCCAATCTGTTGATGTAGAGAAAATTAAGAACAATATTACCTGGAAAAATTTATTGTGAAGCTGTGAACGATTCTTGGGATGAGTTGCTTACAAAGTCGCTCTCTTTAAGACGTTTCGCAGCTCTGCTCAATTTGTGCAAGTAGTTCAGAAAAGGACACTACATCCCCAGGATAAAACAGCCCCAGAATCTCCTATGTCTAGGTTATTCCTTGCACTAAGGAAAGACCCGAATACAAACACCTTTCTATGTTGCTCAGAAATCTTAGTTTAGAAAATAAGAAAAAGATATAAAGAGGAGGAAGGCAGCAGCTATGGTCTATATATATATATATATATATTTTTTTTTTTTGGTTAGACCCAATGGTCTGTATTTTTTCTCTCCTAGCTATATAAGATATATATACAACATTTATCACAAAGAGAAGTTGTGGGCTTTTAAGGACATCAATGCATCAGTTGAAAAAAGATTCAGCCTATATTAATAGAAAATAACTCCTATTAATAAAAACAATTTAAGGCAATTATTGAATTATTGAATATATATTTTTAAAAATAAAAAATAAACATACCAGTTTCAACACAATCTACTTTGGCTAGCAAGTTATGTCAAAACTCATTGGTTCCTATATTTTATTGCTCCATTTATGCCTCCACACTGCTGTAGTTGGGCTATAATGGTGACCATGCAACAAATTATCCAACCTGGCTTGGACCCTCCAAGTAGAATGGTGTCCCTGCTATATATATATGGTGGGTCAGTTATGTACCCTATAGACTAATTTGAACTTGACATATAAAATTTCCCCTTATTTGTAATACAGTACATGTGCACATACATATGGTTGAGGTACATCCTTGTAAAGTCCTTTGGTGCTCTGAGTTCCAAGGTGAGCTGTAATGGGGCCATTCCATAAATTCCATTCTCATCAAATTTGAATTTGAAGAGAGACGTTTGCATATTAGTGTACGCAAGATGAATGGGTTTGATGTAGATCGATTATGGTAGGGTACAGATTATCTGTAGATGTAGGTCAAGTGTAGGTAGAGAGGCATACGGTACAACATCTAGCTTTATGCCATTTGGCACCTAAGTATAGTCGAACTCAAACTTTTCTTAGTCTCAGTGTGGACTGTGGAACATGTTTTTGTGTCTGATTGGCATTTCATGAACATGGAGGATCATTTTCTATTCACTCTGCATCATGAGTCATGAGTCATGAGAACCATATGGTCTCATTTCCCTACCTATTATTATGAGGGGATCCTATCAACAAAGCAACAACATTTGCCCAGTACAGTAGTCTGAGTCAGTGAGTGTGCTTGGGTGACAAATGGCGGGTCCATATCCTCGTGTTTTGCTGTTTTTATCCTCTATTTACCAGCCAATCCAAACCGCAGAACATGGGGGGTGGTAGTTTCTTTTGAACATTGCAAAGCCTATGGCCCAGTCAAATTATAATTTATAGACATTAACAATCGATATATAAATTTGACACATATGAACACGCTTTGCAATGAAGGCTCCAAATGCAATCAATCAACTGTCAAGTCTTGGGTTAACCCTCATGATGATGAGTCTGTTAATTCTGTAAACGGGAAGGTGTAAAGGACAGACAAGTATTGTGGCTTGCAGCCTTACACGCGATGTAGTAGGCGCATGCAATGCAATCATAGCCGTCGAAACCTAAGTACTATAAATAAAGAGTGTTGATTTCTCCACTCTAATTCTATCCACTTACACTCCATTTTATAATTACAAAAAGAGTGTAAGTAAATAAAATTGGAGTGAAAAATGAGCTGATTTTCTCACTTCTCTTTCATCCACTTACACTATAATAAATATTAAGATAGTTGGTAAGTGGGAAAGGGAGAAACTTTTAGTGAAGACTGAAGAGAGGACATTGCAGGACATAGCCGTATATCAGCATTTAAAAGGGCATTGTTATAGTTGAGAAACAGAAGCTTTTTTCTGGGCCGCAGAACATGGGGGTGGGGGTGCAATCAGCAATCAGCAATCAGCAATCAGCAATGGCATCTCTCTTGAATGAATCCACCTCATACCAATTAATTAATTATGCATAGAGCCAGCCAGAGGCAGAGCTGATCATGACTAGGCTCCTGTCTGTCTTGGTATTGGATGTACTGATGCTAGTACTAGCACAAGGACCACAACACATTACACACGTCTATCATCAATTCTTTGTCATGTAATCCTCAAGCTAATTCCTTCATTATATTAGATTAAGGAGCTAGAAGAAGAATATCTTCAAGAAAAAGACACTGCCTTTCCTAGCTAGCCAGCCCTTTTAATTCTGTTAGCTTAGCTTTTCTTACTTACTTTCGCTTTAAGAAGCCCTTTTCATGAATTTTGGATACATGTTTTTTGCTTGCGTAATTGGCTCAAATTTTAATGGTTTTATGGTTGAGTTTCTTTCTACTGGTATTCAAATTGAACATTAATGTGGCTGGAACCGGTAGGTCGTCTATGTTTATATCCTCTCTCTGTTTGCGAAGGTCTCTGTTTCTTGTTTTCCTACTTAAGGCAGTACAAGCACCTTCAATATCCTAGCTATCTAGGAAAAAAAAAAAAAAAAAAAAAAAAAAAAAAAAAAAAATCGTGTTCATGTTCTTCTTGTGTGTGCCTACCGGAAAAGTCTCTCAAGGAAATGCTTACTGATACCACCAGAAAGGTTTAAGAATAATAATCCTTGTAACTGGTCAATTCATTCATTGTTATTTTGGTGTAATGTACGTTGGTGTCACGGGTGGGGGTGGTGGGGCTCGGGATTATTAACCCATTGAAATCCTGCAAGCAATGCATCCATAGCTAGCTATATGCATGTGAATAACTGCACCTCTCATCTGCCAATGATTTATATACAGTAGAAACAAACACAAAATGATGAACCCAGCGGCATTCAAGATGACCAAGCCCAACAACTGGTCGTACGCTTACATGCATGCACATGCAGTTTTCAATTTACTCATTTTGAATGGAAATAATGGTTTATGACTGGCTCTAGGATTAGGAATTACCAGTTTTACTTGAAAACCTTATTAGGTTATAACTATTGACAATTAGCAAGCGGAATTGTTCATGGGCCAGGGCCTGGAATAATTAACTCATAATCAGAACAACAATGCTTTGTCTTTGTGACTTGTTGAGAAAGCCAGAGAGAGAGGGATGTGGGAAAAGTTACCAATAGGCTCTGGGGGATTTCAAAGCTGAAACCAAAAAAAATATATGGAAGAATGTGTCACACGACACAAAAAGAGGAGACAAACCCAACTATGAACCTTAGTTGAAAGTTGAAATAAATAACATCCTAAACAGAGAGCAAGAAAATTGGAAAAAGTTGTAGCCATAGGCTGCTAGACTAGTACACACTGGACTGGACATTGCATTATAGTTTACTACTTTTTAATATCAATTTCCAGGAAATTGCCCTATTTCCCTTTTATCCTGAGACAAAATTTTGAATGGAAGAGGACTAAGTAAAGTAAATAACTTGAAAAGGAGCAATAGTAGGAAATTGGTGGGATGTTTCTCAAAGTGAAAGGACATTAACGAAGACAAAAATATTACCGGAGAGGAGAGAGTTGCATGAAAATTGAAATGTGAGTAAGTCAGAGAGAGGAAAGAGGGACCAAGTTGTCCTTTGGGGGGGCAACAAGAGGATGTAAACCCAATGGGTTGGCTCCCTGCATGTCTTTGAGCTCACACAAACCCCTGTAAACACCCTCTCTCTGTCTTATATCCCTACAACCCCACATGACTGTTTCTCTCTCTCTACTCTCTACCCTCTCAGCTCAAGCCTCAGTGTCTCACCATAAATACCCCTACGCACCCCCTCTACCTTCTTCACCTTTTACTCAAAACTCCAAATCCTCAATTTGATTTTAATTTTGATTTTGATTTGAGGAAACAGACACAAGCTACTCAAAAAGAAAAAACCAGATCAAATGGCTATCAGAAAATCAAACAGACTTCCACAAACAGCTGTGCTGAAGCAAATTCTCAAGAGGTGCTCAAGCTTGGGGAAGAAACAGCAACACTATGATGAACAAGGCCTCCCTTTGGATGTCCCCAAGGGCCATTTTGTGGTTTATGTTGGAGAAAACAGAAGCAGATACATTATCCCAATCTCCTTCTTGACTCGCCCTGAGTTCCAAAGCTTGCTTCATCAAGCAGAAGAAGAATTTGGATTTGACCACGACATGGGTCTCACAATTCCTTGTGAAGAAGTTGCTTTTCAGTCATTAACATCCATGCTCAGGTGAAAAAGACAAGATTTTCAAGTCACCACTAGCCTAGCCTAGCCTTGCTTGTTAGTTGATTTGGGAGAAAATGGCTGAAGATTCAAGATGAAGCTGCTTTACTGCTTCTCTGTTTTTAATTTTCTCCTGTTTTTTTTTCCCTCTGTTATGGGATTGTTCTCTTACAAATTTGAAATTACAACGACTCTCTCTGTCTGACCCAAAAAGAAATTCAAGAAAAACCCATTGAAATTATATTATAGGGGTTTGGAATTTGTAAATCTGATCTAGTTTGAAACTTTCCCCACGGTGGTGGTGTGGGGTGGTACACCAATGTACCCTGCGGGGGAAGGAATATTAATAATATTATAATTGGGGCTGTCAACCTTTTACTTGTTTCGCCTGCTCTTGTTTTCTTTTCTGGGTTTTGTCTGATGTGCGTGCGTGCCCATGTTTTATGCTGCTCTGTCTCTCTCTGGTTAACTTTACTCAACAGTTTTGCAGTTAAAACTGTTAAACGGCAACAGAGATTCTTAACGGATTGTTCTGTTGAGAAATATTTTGCAAGCAAGCAACATAAAATATGGAGCAGATCGACACGATCATGCATGTTGTGTTAGATTTGAGGGTCATCAAGTATTGCACAATGTTGTGTTGTGTCAGTCAGTCTACAAATTTGAAAACACCACTAGTACCCTGAATCTGCATCCATGTATCATGTATGTCTTTATGGTTGTTCACCAATGAAACTCTGATTCTGCACTTCATTTTCTATAGTTTGGTTTGGGCGTGGGGTGGGGGGGTAACAATAACATGAAATATTCTGCTGAATTTGGTCCAAAAGTTGCATTATAGCAACCTTTAATTGCTGTCCCACCAAATGGATGGTTCAGATTTCAGACCCACTTGACCTTCTCCTCCATATAAATCTTTGGTTTTATAGTAATACCACTGTTGGAGCTTGGACCAGGAAGGAATTAAAAGATATATATATATATGATATTTTCATCATCATCATCATCTTATATTAAAATATTATATCAGCTTCTTCCATTCCATTCCATCCGTTGCTCTTGCTGCAGCGAGTCCTCCAGACACAGCGTTATTGTAGTGTTGTAGAATGGTAATTTCAACACATTGGCATTTGCAGTGTACTCAAATACCGTACATGCTTGCTCGCTCTCTCGCATCGCATCGCATCGATGTCTGGACTTTTTGTGCCCTTTGAACCAACTCACTTTTTCCGGTTGTTGAGTTGGAAACTGAAAAAGTAATTGCTTTGTTCTTGTAAAACTTAAAATAATGACAAACTAAAGTAATTGCTTCACATGATGCTTTTTTATTTTTTACAAATTAAATTAAAGTTTTTCGAAGGATACTCTTATAATTACTTAGGTTGTTGGTTGGATGGATCAAAGGAATTATGGGATATACAATTGAAAACGGAAAAGATAAGATGATATCCCACCTGCACATGGAAATTATAGGGAAAACATTTGATCCATGGACGAAAGACGATGACAAAACAATCCAGATATATGATACAAGGGCAAAAACGATGACAAAATTGTACAACGTAAATTAGAATATACAAAGAAATGCCCATGCCTTGAAAAGGATTCTCGCTTTCTTTTTCTCTAACATAATTTGTCTGGGCTAAAATGAACCGAACATCTATAGTTAGTTATAAATTTTAAAAAAAAATTGCAACCAAACCCCGAACAGGCACGGAAATATTATTATTTCATTTTGTTGATACATAAGTCATGCTTAATGGCAAGGCAGGAGGCCCCGAAGATCTGCATAAAATCTTTGACTTGGGGAGGTCAGTCTACTGTTTAGCAGGAAGTATGAAACAGAACATGGCTACTTGGGCTAGTGGAAGTGGAGGAGAGTCTTTTGAGAAGTAGGCCGTTTACTAGGAAAGCATGAAATTATAAAAAGAGAGATGCATATATTCAGTGAACCAGGCAAGGAAGCAAGCAGAGTTTTCTGCTGTATCCAATTCCAATTACACACACAAATTAATTAAATATTTAACTTTAATAAGTTCAGAAGCTACCGCTGACTCGAAAAGCTTAATTTGTATCTCCAGCAGCAGCAGCATCTGCCATTTTGTGCATGTTCATGTATCACCCTCCCTCCCTCCCTAGTCCCTACTAATTAAGGAATTAGCAAAAGAAGCCATGAATCCTAGCCCTCATCATGCATTTAGTGGTTGGTTGATTTTGATACACTAAACCATGAATGGCGGGTTTAATTAATAAAATATTGAAATAAAGCCAAAAGAAGATGGATGGAGGGTGGTGGAGACCCCAAAATTAAGAAGCAAGCAGGGTCAGGGACCACTCTGTTGAAAACGAGACATATTTCACATGTACTACAGCCCTATAGCCTATAGTATTAGTAGGAGAATCAGGAAGGAAACACTTTATATTTACATATAATCAGCATTGTAAAATTAACACTCACATAATATTAATATGCTCCCCTCCCCACTCCAAATACGAATCAGTCACTATCCGCAATTTATTTTTTTCTTTTTTTTTAAACAAGTCATTATCTGCATTAAGAACCAACTATATGTATATGTATATATATATTTAGAGCACTTAATCCATATATAATAAGCTCTACAACTACAAGTACAACAAGAGGGAAATAACTAGTGATTACAATAACATGGAAAACTGAAGACTAATAATACAACTTAGAAGGGGATAGATGAAGAGCAGCAGCACTAGTACTCAATGATGCAATGCAAGTATCAAATCAAGCATTATTATCAGCAGCCAGCAGCAGGCAAACAACAAGCATGGCATAATTGAATAATTAAGGAAAGGGCTTTTTGTTTGGAAGATTGGAAGAGACCTAACTTGCTTTAATTCTGATAATTTTTTCTGTCTTGGTTTCTTTTCAGATCATGAATAGTATAATTTCCATCCAGATGGATTGAAAGAAACGTCTTGCTAAAATATTTATATTTAAAAAATATATATTATGTCTTTATTGAAAAAGGCAATAACTTTCGCATGAATCTATCTATCTACTGATGAAAGGAAAAGTAGTAAATAAAATGAGGTAAACCACTTTCCTTTCCATTGGTGTTTTTTCAACTCAAAAAGGAAAAAAAAAGGGAATGATGTGCAAGCAAACTCATCAATCAAGTCAAGCCTTGTAGATCTTGAATTGACAGCACCATAAAACAAATGTCAACATGAAAAAGCAGAGGAGAGATGAACAAGAAGTACGTGCACGGTGCACTGGTATTAAATGCTGCATGGATGATATTATTCATCTTTTAGTTTAGACTGTACAAGTTTGCTGTTGTTATGTATGAATCATGATCATGTATTTTGAAGTGGGTTTGTTTGAAATCTGAGCTTGACCATAATGCTTTTGCTATCTACTTTGATTCTTTTCCTCTTGAAGAGGAGAGAGTCAGAGAGTTGGGTGTTGGACAAGGAGAGCCATGTATGTTGGGAGGTGTGTAGGGTAGGCATGTTGGAATTTCAACTTGGTTCATATATATCACATTTCTGTGTGTTCTCTTCTGGCAAATCGTGGTAGCCCACATTTCCTTCCTTTTCCTATATCTTCATCTTCAACTTTTTAAGCGATTGAGCAGCAGACTGTTCTTCAACCAACCCTTGGATATTTCAACCCAACTTTGAAAGAGTCCTACACGAAACCAAAGGGACAAAAAATATATATATATATCAAAGAAAGATGCAGTGGTACAAACAAGTGATATTATTAATCACTTGACTGACAAAATCTTTGTAACATTTTCTTTTGCTGAAACTGTGGATGGTCTTTCATGAAATCGACAGTAATTGTTTCAAGGGAATTACTTAATACAACTAACAGCTTTGTTAAAAGTTACAACAACAATTAACCATTATTTCACAACATTTTGTGCACAAAACAGAAAGCTCCCTCAAACCATTCAATTTATACATATAAAAAGGATGTCGAGCGACAAGAACGATTCTTGTGATACAGCCTGACGAACGCAGAACATGATCGAGGCCAAAGTTTAGCCTTAATTGAAGCGGAACATTTCCCCCATATTTGCGACACCAAAAACCTCGTGATGATTATTTTTGAATAATGCTATTCTTACCACATTCTCATAACAGCTTATATGACAAATGAGGTTAACAGTCACATCAAGTAAAAATGTCAATAAATCAAAAGGAAAAACATAATATTTTGGGCTTATAAAAGAAACAAAAATATACTTTTGTGTATGATGGATTGTACTCAAATTCCCAGAGATCGAAAATGTCTTGGTCATATATAATGAGAGAGCAATAAACTTATGGGTGTATACAACCGGTGACACCAAAACATTTCATATGAGTCGGGGATGACCACCATGTGACGGTAGAGCTACCTACCCTAATATCTTTTCAACCAATGAGGTGAACAATCACATCAAGTGAAAAATGTCAATAAATCAAAAGGAAAAACATAATATTTTGGGCTTATAAAATAAACAAAATTATACTTGTATATGATGGATTGTACTCAAATTCCCGGAGATCGAAAATGTCTTAGTCATATATAATGAGAGAGCAATAAACTTATGGGTGTATACAACCGGTGACACCAAAAACATTTCATGCGAGTTGGGGATGACCACCATGTGACGGTAGAGCTACCTACCCTAATATCTATTCGACCAACTACTTAGCCCATGTCATTATTCTTTCCAAACCCATAAACCCCGATGGGTTATCACAAGAACCCATATCCATTAGACGTTTCAATCCAGTAGACCTGGATACAAAGACCACTTAAATTAAAAGCCCATGGCCGAAGCAAAATTCCGAAGAAGAAGAGAGCTCTTCTGCCAAGAAGAACGAATTCATATGAAAACTGTGACATACATTATATTCAAATACTTTGAAGCAGTCCATAAACTATGTCATGGTTGAATTAACCCAAATACAGAAGGCGTGCAAGAGAGAGAAACAAATTAACAGATGGATATCATATACAGAGCCATTAGTTACAAAATTACCTGACCTTCACCAGTATTCCCCTCAGATTAAAGCTTCAAACACCTAGGAATTCCCAACAAAAGATTTTTCTATCACACGACACGAATGAAGGAAGGTCTCCATCTTTGGTGCTGCTTCTAATTATTACTTTTTAACGGTCTTTCCAACCACCAATATATATTATTCAGGCTCTCGAGCTGCAAGTCTAATAACCATTCTTTCCTTTGGAGGAAAAGAATCTGCTGAAGCCGCGTTGATGTTTCTCTGGTGTTGGGGTAGAAGAGGCAGATGAGGAAGTTGACTTGGTAGGCCTGTGTTTTGGATATTTGGAATTGACTGGTGATTTCAAGAGAGTGTTCGCCTCTGTATCGGAGGGGCTACATGGGGTGTTATACAGATTCACCGGTGACTCGCCGCCCACTCTGTTTACATTGGCAAAAGCAGTGCCCTCCATCTCGGCTTGATCTGAGTCTCGCACCGTGGTAGTGGGTTCGTCCTCAGTGAACCCTTCACCCTTTTGACTCCTCTCACTGTATGGAGATCCCATGTGCTCTGTTTGCGGATGCAAAGATTTCAACTGCTTGCCTAGAAGAAATATGGTTTCTTGACACTCGGCAAGCTTCTCTGCTGCATCAGCCAACTCCCTGTCCTGTAACGACAAAATATCAAGTTCAAACTATTAGCATCTTGAAAATACAAAAGCATGCACAAGGGCTAACTGACAGAAAATAAAACAACTAGCTAACCCCAATTAGTTCTAGAATTCTGTTGAACTGAGCTTTGAATAAAAATCTATTCGGGATAAGAGATCCTAAGTACAAATTCTTGAGTGACTGATCAATACTTCTTTTGATATGATTGAAAATATCTGGTGTTTTTTTTCCTACGACATTTCAAGTTGTTTAAAGCCAGTCTCTCCAACTCCAATTTTAGAAGCACAAAGTGAACGTAGCCTCACCTGTTTTGTCTTGAATTCAGTCTCAGCTGCCAAGAGCTCATTCCTAAAGAAGATTAAGAGATGCAGAAGTTAGAGACAATCACAAAACCTGAGACCAAGTAAATAGTTTAATTTTTTTCACTCAATTTCAACCAACAGTGTCATGCAAGTCCAAGGACTAAAAACACTAGTTTCTGGAACATATAAATAGCTACTTTTAAAATGCGGATATAATGCAAGTAAGTAAGTAGACTGGTGCTTCAGTTCTGAGAGTACATATGGCAGATGCCACCTCATGGATAAAGATTGCAACTAACCTTTTCAACTGCTCTTGAAGTTCCGTGCATCTGGCCAAAGCATCTTGATGATTTCTTTTTTCTTCTTGAAGCTCATTTTCCAGAGTCTCAGTTCTGACTTGCAGAAGCTTCAGTTCAGCTTCTAATTCCTCAGCCCGTGCCTCTAGTGACCTGTATGATTCTGCCATGCATCTTAGCTGCGTTTCGGCTAAGCTATTTGAATTTTGAGCGGAAGCAAATTGTGATTTAGCTTCTGCGAGAAGCTGTTCAGTTTCCTGCAACTGAGACTTTGTCATCTCCAGAGTTTCATTACATCTTTCCAAATCCATTGCAAGGTTATCTTTCTCTGATTTCATTTGTTCAAACTCCTCCAGTGAGATTTTGCATGGTGCTGCATTTGATTCATACCCAGAGACTAGATTTCCATCATCAGGAACTTCAGGGTTAGAATGATTAGAAATGTGGACACAAACATTTTGATATCTTTCTGATGAATCCTTCTCAACTAACTTATTCTCCGGTAATACTACCTTGTCGATACAATCAGGACTATTAGTTTCTGTTTCAACACCCTTGTAGCCTAGAACATTAAATTTCAGCTCACCGACGTTTGCTAAAACATGAGAAAGGCCAAGAACAAAATCAGCCAAACTTAAGTTTCCATGAATAGCTTTATTAAATGCGCCAGAGAATTCTTCAATCTTATGGCTTAATTCATTGCCATCAGGAAACGTGTCATGCACTCCCATCACTTCTTTGCCCAAGAATAGCACAAAGTCATTAATCAAAGAAATGGCAGATGCCAGATCTTCATTCATTAGTTCCATGGTCCCCCTGGCTGGCTGGGACAAAGTGATTTCCTTTTCTGTAGTTAAGCCAGAATCCTCAGGATTTGCCTGCCTGTCACATATGGCATCTGAGCTGTGAACTTCCTCAGAAATGCAGTTTACAGTGTGCGGGTGCAGAGTATCTTGTGTTTCCTGGACGACACGTTTGATATCCTCAATAACTTTCCCAAAATCAGTGTCCTTAGATAAGAGCTCCAATAGCATAGAGATTTTTGATCGAGCTTCACCAGGGGCAGCTGGTTTTCATCAGATTCAGGACTTAATCCGGACAGTTTCACATTAGAAGATGCCTGATCACCTTCCAAAGGACTTAAATCATGCTGCTGCTCCGATTGGATATCTTTTTCAGCTGTGACATCTCCTGAAGCATCATGATTCTCTCTTTCCGATGTCTTATTGTTTGGACCGTCTGAAATGGAGACGGCTCCATTCGAGTCATTTGGCAAACAAGCCAACTTCTCCATCTCCAGAAAGTCATCCATAAGATTCAAATGGTTTTGATTTTCAGCTTTGTTTGACTTTTGATTGCTCTTCTCCTTCCTGATGTGAGAGAGATCAGACCCCAATGTTGTAGCCCAAGACTCAGCACAGCTTCTGTCATCATCATTTCCATCTTCGGACAAGGAGGTCAAGCTTGGCGGATTACTTGCGTTCTGACTTGAGGAACCTTCAGTGGTGATTTGTACAACGGATTTTGGGGAACCTTTGATTTGAAGTTGTGCTTCTAATGTTTGAAGCTTGCTGACTGTCTGAGCACACATACCCCTTGAAGTCTGCAATTCGCTGTTGCGCTTTGCCAAAGCTTCTTTCAGCATCTTTGTCTCTTCTTCCATTGCTAATAAACGTTCTGTGAGAAATTCATTCTCCTTGTGAAATTTCTGTACGTTGTCAAGAGAAAACTCAGTCACTGGGGACATGTGTGGACTAGAAGGCTTAACAGGAGATCTCCTTAGTCGAGTTTCTCCGTAATCTCGGCCTAAACTCTCAACCTCTAACTTCATTTGGGCAAGTGCAGCGGGACCAGGTAACTTCTTCCGCACAAGACCACGTAATCTTTGGCACTCTGCTTCTAGCTTAGCTATTTTTTTCACACCCTCCATATGCTGCTTGTTGGCTGCTTCTGCAGACCTCATACTCATATCCTTTTCCTCATTACGAATTTCCAGCTCCTTGGAAGCTAAATGCAGTTCATATTTCAGAGAATTTATTTCCCTTTCGCAAGACTCAATGTTGCTCTTAAAAAGCTCAATTTCAGCCTCAGCTTGTGACTTCTCTTCATTTATCTTGAATAGCATATTTGAACGCTCTTGTAAAGACCTGGAAATAGCAGCGTTTTCAGCAGCCGACCTTAGGAGTTCTTGGTCCAAATTAGATATCTTTGCTTCAAGCTCAAGCTTGATTTTTCGCATTGCTTGGTTTTGCTGAAAACAACTTCTTGTAATTTCTGTTCATGATCTTCCTTCAGATTTCGTATCTGCCGCATGCACTCTTTAAGAGCACCATCCAAATGTGAGGCCCGATCTTCAGCAGTGAGCTTTAAAAGAGTCACAGATTCTAGATGAGTTTTTAACGCGAGAGCTTCTGCTTCAGCCTTTTCCCAACCTGCAGGAAGTAGGTGCTTAAATATACCAAGTTCTCTCAAGTCAAGAAATCCTTTACCAGAATTTGATCAAGAACTCATTTTTTCTGTAGTCAGGTTATATCAATATCATACCTGAGACAGCTTCTTCGGCAACTTTAGTATGCTGTTTAACCAGGCTCTCCTTGTTAGTCGTCTCTGTATTGGCCGCGGAGAGCTTTTCATTCAAATCTGTAATTTCATCCTCCAATGTCTGAACTTGGTCCTCATATGTCTTCACTTGATCCTCATAAGTCTTCACTTGATCTTCCAAACTGGTCAGATGTGAATATTGCTCGACAGAAATTTGAACATAGTTTGGTTTCTTGTATTTATCCTGATTGTAATAAGCAAACCGAAAAAGAGAATAATTAACATGTTGCACCAAAATTCGAAAGAAACTAAGAAGATAAGCTGGTGAGCACAGTATTTATCGAAATAAAAGAAATAACAAACTCAACAGCAGCATGTTTCTGTCCCAGGCTGTGTATACATACATACATGCATCAGACAGGGCTGTAGAAAGTGACAAATGTGGGTTGTCTCCCACAACATTTAATGAATAAATATTGCCCCAATTAACTAGTATACAACAGACCTAAATAATTCCATCAAACTACGGCAGAAGTTGCTGTGTAAGAAAAACCCATGAGAAGTGCCCACTTTCAGGGTCAATGTTGCGAATATGCAAAATGTTGAAAGGCAAAGGTATTCCTGATCAATAGAAAGGGAAGCAGAAAAAGATATCATGACAGAACTTACTCGCTCTGCCTCGGTTGCAAAAGAGTCTGCTGCAGCTGCGGCTTTCTCAGCTGCAGCCTTGTCGGAAGATTTTTTCTTCCACGGCCAACTGCGTCGGTCCATATTAGACTGTGAGGTCTGCAAAAATTACGAGTTATACTGACAATTGTTAGTTGAGAGAAAAAGGAAAAACACAAGAAGCGATTAACAAAAATGACTGATTAGGAAAAACAAGGAAACTTCAATACTTGTAACGATATAATGAGCTGAAATGTTTGATAATACGAGTCTACATTTCTACTCTTATAATCTTTAAATGAATGATATTCATGATGATCTGTTTGTAAAACAAAAAATTAATGTCAACTAAATCAAACAATGGTAAGAGAATCTGAAGTCTCATTTCTCTCCCTACAATTTTAGCAACCTGCAAGAGCATTGGAAGGACAGAAATGCAGATACATATCATAAAAAAGGACATACCAACTAATGCAGAAGAGAATATGCCGAGATCTCGACACGGAGCTAATTTGAGCTGGAGATCCTACAGATTTGAAGAACAACCGTACCTTAAAAATCGAAGGTATAGAAATTAAATAAAAAAATTTATAATGATGAAGAAACTGATATATTCGATCCAGTTTGAACAAAGACAAATATATGTGCAACTGTAGACTGTTAATGTGAAAGACAAGTGATATATGTAATTTAACCCAAAATTAATATGCTGAGCAACAGTAAAAGACTGACACTGAAAAAGCTCAAAATCTGATTCAAAACGGAAATAAATGGCCATATTTGAGAAACCGAGCTCGAACAAAATTATTCAACACAAAAAGATGAACAGGAAATCGGTCGAAACCAGCATAGAAGCCTCACCGACAAAAATAGAAGAAAAAAAAACTACATGTCCAAATTGATAGAGTAAAAACTCGCATAAAACCAGAGCATGTTTTCAGAAAACATAAAAAGGAGGAATCAGAAACACAAAACCGTATTTGTTATTTCTTATTTTTATACATAAATTTATTTTTCTCTCTTTTCTGAGAACCTTCTGGTAGATGCCAGTGATGAACAGATAAAGAAAGAAGTCGATGGTGACGAAATGGCTAAGGAATCAGCTTACCGGAACAAATGCAGCTTCGGAAACACTCCGATATAGAGAGAGTATGAGACTCCGAGATGGAGACCACAGAGTTTTCCAATATTCCGAAATGGAGATCCGAAATTCGGATTTACTTTATTCGGTAAGTCTCGGTTTGGGAGAGAGAAAGAGAAAGAGTGCGACGGAGGTGTAGGTGGAGGTTTCGGAAGAGAAGAGCAGAGAGAGAGAAAGGAAGGAGGAGGAGAAGAAGAAGAAAATGGTGGTGTGATGGTGGTGGGTGTGACCGTGCGAGAAGAGTGAAATATTCGGACTTAGGTGTCACTTAAAAGGCAAGACGTTAGAAAAAAGCTCCAAAAACCATCACCTTCAATTTACTAATAAATTTTTGAAAAAGATAAAGAAATAAAAGGAGAAGAAAACAACAAAAACAAATTAATTAAAGCATCGGGGAATGGTTCTTTTCTTTTTCCTTCTTCTTAACTTAATTAAGAATCTGGCAATATTTATATTTTGGCAGCCAAGTTGGTTGATCATATGACGAATCTACCCCTGGGAGCAAAGAGAATGGCGGTGGAGTCCCACCTCCTCTACGCTTGTGCGGGAAGCAAGGGGTGAGCTGTAACGCGATATTTAGAAACTTCTGTTAGGCTGTTGGCGTATTTTCATTTTTTCTCCTTTTCTGTTTTGTTTTTTTGTTTTTTTGTTTTTTGATAAAAGGCAGTTTGGCGTATGTTATGTTTACATTGTGTTAACTTACGGGGTTTGGGTTTGGATGGACCACCGTCCCTAGGATGGTCAGTGAGTCCAGCTCACCACTATAATGTCTTGTGTTGAATGTGGTGCGGCTACTAGGCACTACGTGGACCGTCAAAGCATGGTTAGTTTTTTTTTTTCTATATATATATTATTTTTTTCAAATATATAAGATTGGAACATCAGATCGTCAATTGGACCCACCTTATTATTTGTTTTTTTGGAATTTTCTGTTTTAATTAGAGTATAATTTAATTTAGGATATTGTTTTCTAATCCCCGTAATTTACCCAAAAAAAAAAAAAAAAAAAAAAATTATAAAAATCCTAGACATGTATTTATAAAAAAATTCAAATACTATTTAAACATAGAAACACACTCAAAATCAACAATTATATATTTTTGGGAGTTTCACTAAAACACCCAAAATGGAGGTGGAAATTATAAAAAAACTCAAACACTATTTAAACATATAAACACACCTAAAACCCATCATTACACACACTCAAAACCCATTTATAAACACACCCAAAAAGTTGACTTTGAGGTTGATTTTGGGTGTGTTTCTATGTTTAAATAGTGTTTGGGTTTTTTTATAAATACATGTCTAGGATTGGGTTTATTTATAAATTTGTATATATTTTTTGGGTGTGTTTATAAATGGGTTTTGAGTGTGTGTAATGATGAGCTTTGGGTGTGTTTATAAAGTGTTTTGGGTGTTGGGTTTTTTTATAATTTCAGCCCTTATTTTTTATGTTTTAGTGAAACTCCCAAAAAAAAAGCCAAGCTCAACAAATAATTTTGTTGTGGATCTTTATTTTGACTTTTACCCCTTAATCTGTTTGATAGGTTTTTAGGCCCTAATTAAAGGACAAAATCTCCCTGCATTAAAGTTAAAATTCATTTTTAAGATTTGCTTAATCTTTGACCACCTACTAATGTGCCCCACAAATTGTTCCAAACTCTTTTAATGTAAAAATTAAAATTTTAAAACTTTAAGGTCAACACCGATTGTGTAATTCAAATTTACATGGTACATCTTATACACGTATTATAATATAAGTAAATATTTATTAATACTATTCCTTAAAAAGGAGGACAATAAACCTTGTTGTCGTTCTCCACCCATATTATAACTAGTGTACAAAATATATCGTCATATTATCGTAATATTTTATAATTTCTTGAATTATTACATTATACAAATTAAACACAAATGCAGGCAAGATGCTGTTAATTTTCTGTTTATGGATGTTTTCCGTGATTCATAGCCCAATCAATCATTAAACAATGGACCTCGTAGAAAATAGTCATACGACATGATTAATACAATACTTTGAACCAAAGCAAACAAAAGAAGGCACGACAAACAAAAGTAAGTTTTGGAGTGGTATTATATTTTGGGGAGATGAATTTTGACGTTAGATTGCAGAGTGTAAGGCGCTCCTGTCGTTTTCCACAGGCGTCGGGTCTCTTTTTTACTACAAATGTTTAGACTGAGTGAGACGAGTGCTGTGGTGCGTTTCTTTCAACACCACGCAAATACACACACAGGCTGACTTCAATATCTCGCATAGCACAATCATCACAAGAAAAGGAAATGCGATTCTTCTTTTTTTCTTGTATTTTTAACCCTAAATGACGGAGGAATTTTATTTATTTATTTATTTATTGGACAAAACCCGATACCAAAAAAACAAAAATGAAAGGCTTTTATTTTATGCCGACAATGAAGAACACCTTTTCATGGAAGATAAGCATTGATCGTGGATTAATTTCTAATTACTGGTAAGAATTTAATAAATAATAAAACCATGATCTTGGACAGATGCAGAAACACGAAGAATGAAGTTAACTAAGTAGCCATCACAGAATCCAATGACGCATTTACCCCTAATCAAAACGAAAATGACGCATTCACCCACCCAAACCTAATACACACCTGAAAAATGACAAATAAATTATTTAATTTTTACTTTACTGCCAAAAAGGGGTGTTCCTGCCATGGCACTGTTACACAACGGCGACTATGAACGTGAAACATCAACAGTGACAATTACTGTGTGTTGATGAGATGGTATTTTTAAATATATGGTCGTCCGTACCTCCAAACCCACCAGCGCCCAGCTTCCTAAAAAGTCAACCTGTTTTAGTTGACATGGGTCAATCACACAGTTCAATTCAAACTACAAACACCAACTATTTTTAGAGGAAAGTAAAAACAAAAATTTAGGTGCAGCTTGTTACTTTTCCGTGGTTTCAACTTTACTAAGTTTGATCCTTTGAAAAATTATGAAGCGAAGCATGCTAAACAAAATTGTTCTCTAACTCTTAGCCAAGCCACATTCTTGTATAAACCTTCAATAAGTTTACCTACTATTGGTTTTTATTCAATTAAAATTCACCCTTGAACAAATTGTTTTGTATAAACTTTTATAGTAGCAGGCATAAACTTTTATAGAAGCTTTTGCAATTTATTTCTAAAAATCCCAATAATAAACTGAAAATGATTCCTCCTTATCAACGGCAGTCCTATATTTTGGAGGCCCTAAGTGAACTTCATAAATGGGACCTTTTACTCTATTTGTATATTTATGTGATTTTTTTTCTTAAGTAAGTTTAAACAAGTATTATATGGACTCAAATTCACAAATGTAACATAAAAGAAACAATCAATATGTAATTTACACAACTTAAAAAAATGAATCAAAACATCACTTAAATATCACTCGTATTGCATTTTCCATTCAAAAGTATCAATTAATTTTACATAATCAAGTTTTTCTACTATATCTTTTTCAATTTCCTAATTAGGTTAATTCATTTCAGCTATAAGTTTTAAAAAATAATTGGGTTTTTATTGAGTTTCCTCTTTTTAATTTTGAATCGAGTAATTGGGCAAGTTTTTTGTTTTTACAATTAGTGGGCCTTTGTTGAGTTTCCTTTTTTAGTTTTGAATTGAATGATTAGGTAAGTTTTTTTTATATTTACAATAATTGGTTTGGAACTAACATAATATTTATATATTATAGTTTTTTAATGAATAATTTTGTACTCTACCACCTACGTCTCATGTGACCAGTGATATTGTATTCTAATGAATAATTTTGTAGCCACGTTTAATGACTTGTTAATTTAATTACAATTTGCAAGTGAAATTTATCCAAACTCAACCGGCCGAACTCGCTGCTTACTTAATATGGACCCCAAAATTGAGCGAGTGGGTCCACAAGCACACCGAAGCGCGTAGAGATAAGGCCCATAAA